AAAAAAAAAATTATAAGTCTCCCTCACCTGTGCTCTCTCCCAAAAATTATATTATTTCAAGAATCCTATTGGATTCTTTGAGAATTGAACAAAATTTTGGAGAGGAAAACGAAATTTTGTGAAAAAAAAAAAAAAAAAATAAAAAAAAAAAGAGAGAGAAAAAAAAAACCAAATTTATAAGAAAGCAAACAAACTTCTAACTTTGTGCAAGAAAATGTCAAATTTGAACAGAACAATAACGACCACCTAGAATCCCCATAGAAAGGATTGAACTTTCAAATTGCAAAGAAAAACCCAAAAAGAAAATCATGTGTATTAATTAAGAAATGAAAATAACAATAACGCCTATATAATCATGTTCATTTTTCCACTGGCATTTGGCTTTTAAAAGCCTAGAAAACACGGTAACATACATCATCTTGTTCTAGAAGACAAGTTTCCACTGGAAAAGCATAAAGTTAAGGTAATAATAATTACGATGTATTAATAAGTGATAACAATAGTCAAAGACCCAAACTTGTTTCCACTGGAAAAACAAAAAGACAGTCTCTAGACAGGAGAGGACCTGTAGGTTGGACCTGCAGGTTGAGCTTCGCACTGTAGATGGATTGGTGAAGGAATGAACTCAGTGTGCTCCTAATGGGTATTACTTCATCCCAGTATATGACAAGGTTTGTTTTGTAACTCCAATTATACCAAGTGCTTACGTTTTAGAAGAAGAGGGCTAGACTCTTTTTGTTGGTATAACAAAAGTTCAGAGTGAGGGGAGGTTATCCGGTCATGATGGCATGTTATTAAGGTTATGTTTACTGTCAAAAGAATTTCCTGCTAATAACTGGTTGTGTAAACGATATTATGAAGATGATACAATGCCTGTTTTACTGGTTATACTTGCTCTGTAGTTGTCTCTGTTGGACTCCGTTTGGAAAATGGATAAAATTTTTAACACCTTGTATTTTCACTTGTTATTATGAGATCCGGAGTCATAATATATAAGAGTTTTAAAAAATGTGTTCTAACATATAATTGATCAAAAAAAGAGTCCTAATATAGGTCTGCTTTAGTCCATACTATTACAGGCATGTTTTTAGCTTCCAAATTTTACTGATGCAATAGTTTACAGCTCTTTTTAGGGAGTATTTCTTGTTTGTTGTTTGTATTGAAGCGTCATGTGTGAATTGCCTTGACACATCACATGCTTACTTGACAACACATGTGATGTGCATGATCTTTTCAGTTTGATTGATCACGTAATTTCTATTTACAGGGTTCTTTTGTTATAAAAATAAATGGACCAGAAGGGTGGTCCTGGGACCCAGATAAGGTATGGTTCAAAATCTTATTTTCCTACACACTCTGCATCCTATACTTTCTTTATTACTTTACTAGATGTCCTTTATATTGTAAAAGCAAAAAAGGAGTTGTATTATGTTGGTTCCTGTTTTGGTAGATGATACTGGTTGCACTGGTAACAAAGATATCAATTTTCGGTGTACAGGGTTCGTCTTATAACTCGTTATTTTTTTTCTAAACCACTATCTTAGTTCAGGTTCTGTGCACTCCAAGCTCCAACTTTTAAGCCTATTTGTTCTCCTGTTGATATATCTTCTTCATGTTTACCTGTTGCAGGTTTACCATATCTGGTAGAGTTGTAGGATCTGTTGGTTGGGGAGCTGCCTACTTAAAGATGGAGGTCCTTCGGATGTGAAAGTTGAACTTTTATCTCCTCATGATGATCCAATTTCCTCTGTATTAACATCATCAGATGGGAGGTATTTGGTTGCAAATCTTATTCCAGGTATGGCAGTTCCTATATTACATTCTTGCTATACAAATTGTATTTTATATTTCTTTATTCTTATTTGATATCTCTGCTGCTACATTCCTGGTTTGTTTGAAATCTGTGTAACCAGAAGTGTTGTTCAACCATACAATGAAGAATTTAGTGAAATATTATAGTTATTATTGAAAAGTTCCTAATTATTAGAAGTCATGCAGTGCCCAGGCACCATAGCATAATCTTGCAGATAGTCATTATTTTCATAGTTCCTTTGCTGTCTCCACGGTCAACAAGTATATAAAAGCAACCTTAGGTATAGTTATGCATGCAATATCATAAAAACTCGTGTAGTCATTTTACCGATTAAGAGCTTGTTCTGCCATTGCACTCAACATATAATTAATTGCCAATAAAGTTACCATAACTAAGTTTAGACAGGGTACTTCTGAATAGGATAATATTTATTAATATAGGATAACATGAATCATATATAGAATGGCAACTTCTTAGTGATTCAATTATCAAATAAGGCTCCTGACTACGAGTTGCTTATTTCAATTTGATGATTCTCATGGAACTGTTCTTTTTATGTCATCCTCAATGTGGTTCGGGAAAGTACAACTTCTTAGTGATTCAATTATCAAATAAGGCTCTTGACTATGAGTTGCTTATTGCAATTTGATGATTCTCATGGAACTGTTCTTTTTATGTCATCCTCAATGTGGTTCGGGAAAGTACAAATTGCATGCTTCGCATCCTGATATCAAAATAGAAGTTAGAGGTTCCACAGAGGTGTTTTATGTTCTCTCACTTGTCTTATTTCACAATTTTATTTGTTTAATCATTAAGAAATATTCCTTGCACACCAACAGTATGGAAATACATTGGATGTAGGTGGAATTGGGATTTCAAAATGGTGCATTTGATGATATTTTCTTTGTTCCTGGCTATGACATCCATGGATCTGTGGTTTCCCAGGTACTTTGTACTAGAATGCAAAGTTGTTTTTATTGCCTGCAAAACATCTTTGTGTATCAGGATGTGTTCTATTGTGTTTAAAAAGCTCATTAAATAGTATAACATTCTGAGACCAAGAATAAGATCCATGTGTGATTTGTTTAAGTCATTTCCATCATTTCTTGAAGTTAAATTCATCAAAATCTTTCTCAACCAAGAGAGAGGGGAGGAAGGATTTATGATTTGGTAATTGAATTGGTGATGTAATTGTTTCTTAGAGGCAGAGGGATGGTGATATTTAAGCAATCTCTTCATTTTATTTGAAGATCTAACTCTAATATGTTTGAGAAGCTTATCCATGAGTATGATATTGTAATATCAACAATAGTAGTCATGTATAATTGATCTTTTCTGTTGTCAGCTATTTGAAGATAAACTTTGAGGCTTTTCTTTCCTCAGCCAAAAGGGTGTGAGGGATTTATGGTCTAGTAGTCAAACTTGTGATGCAAAATTTTCTTGTCAGCAAAGCATTCATTTTTTATGGCCATTAAAATGTTAGAAGTGCAAATTTCAATTTGCATCACCACTGTATTCTTTTTCTGTCTTTCTTCTCCATTATCTAAAATTTATAAAAGAGAACTGTAAGGACAGGTCCGAGGTACCAAGACTCGGACTGCTACAGTAATTTCTTTATGACCGAAGTGAGAAATGAATCTGAAGCTTCCCGCTCAAATAGCTGCATGATAATGATAATAAGCATGTCCACACCTGATTCCTTATGATGAGCGGCACAGCAGAAACGGTGGACACCCGTGCATCTGAATACCCC